GTTTCCGGGATTATGGCCTAGCTTCGGCCCAAGTTACCCTGTTTCGTGGGGGGTATGCCTGCTAGCTGAAGGTTTTTAAGGCTAGGAGGCCCCTTACCGCAAACTGAGGCCCCACCGCCATGGGTTGGAGACATTTTGGAAGATGTCAGTCCAGCATTTGGGTTAGCTGGAGACGTCAGAGTGATGAGAGTAGTCGCACTAGGCAGTCCAAGGCGATCCATTGGTGGTGTTCTGGTTTGTCTTGCTTGAGTTCTGGTTCTCAACATTGCTATGCCTGCCCCCCTTAAACAGTAAGCCTTCCCGCCCCTCTAGTCCCCAAAGTTCTGCCCAATTCCATAAAGTATTAGATTGGTGCCAATTACCACCGCGGGGTCAGGGGGGAGAGGATTAGATAGCCATTCTTTGTTGGTCATAAGTTGGGTTAGTCACCCATCCAATAGTAGTGGTAAGAATAGGAATAACCCTTGACCTTTAGCCCTAAACTCCAAACCCTAATCCCCACACCCTAAGCCCCCAAACCCAAAACCCTAAACCCAAACCCTAATCCACATACCCTAGACGCTAAACCCTAAACCCCAATCCCCCAACCCTAAACCCTGAATCGCGCGCCTGGCGAGATGGTATGACTACATCACCTCGGTTTTCGCGATCATCGCCTGGCGCTCAGTCTCCAGGTTCGGTCCTGTGTAGGGTTTAGGGTTTAGCAGGATATAGGGGTTAGGGGTATACGAGGATATATAGAGTTTAGGGTTTGGTGTTTTTCCAAATTTCGGGTACCTTGAGAGGGGGATATAGGGGTTATGTAGGTGTATATGAGGATATGAAAGGTTTTTAGGGTTTAGGGTTTCGGGGGTCCCATAATAAGGATTATAGTATTTTGGGGTCTATATTAGGTTCCCCTATTTCGCGAACCATAAATCTACACATCAGGGTATATGAAGGTTACCAAGGGGCCGTTAAGCGGTGCCTTTTTGGTAGCTTAGTAGCGTCCCTAATCCATTCCCGAGTAGGAGTCCATGAAGCATATGTGAAGCATTGACTTTAGCTCATGTGACTCATATGGCCTGTAGGCTAGCACAAGATTTCCTCCATCCATTTGCAGAGCGCGGGTCAGGAGTTTGAAGCTTTGGGTGTAGGATTTGCGCTTCGAAGCTGGGGAATGCGAAGCTGAGCATCTTACAGCTAGCTTCGATTACTTCATGTGGCAAAAGTCAAGGCAAGCACCGGAATAATTTGGAGTCTCGCCCCTTTTAATCTTGATTTTATGTGTAAGGCTTAAGGGATGTACCTGACATAACCCTATCAAACCCTAAACTCTAAACCCTAATGCGAAACTCCAAGCCCCAAACTCCAAACCCTAAACCCAAAGCTCCAAACCCTAAAGCCCGAACTCTTACAGGGCGGGGCATTCACGTTCATGTCCATGACGTCCTCGGTGCTCAACCTCGCATCCTCCAAGTTCAAGGCAAGCCGCATTTGGAAGCCTTCAGGGGTTTTAGAGTTAGGGGTTAGGGGTTAGGGTTTAGCGTCTAGGGTTGGGATCCTATACTTTTAGCGCCACTTTCTTATAGCTTTCTGGGGTATACCTACTAATTAGGGTGCAACTACATACTGCTAAGCTGACCCTAAACCCTAAACACTTTAGGGATTTGGGTTTTCAGAGCTTAGGGAGGGTTTAGGGAATGGGCGTTTTTGGGTTTAGCGGTTATGGGGTTGAGGGATTAGCGGATAGGGATGTAGGACTACAGCAGGGGTTAGAGGGCTTAGGGTTTGAAGGCTTAAGGAGTACCTGAACCCCCAAAGTAGGTAAATAAATAGCCCACAACCCCTAAAAATAGTCCAGAAGGCAGTTATTATTCTGCATAATTTTGGGGTGCCGGTAGCGCTCCGTTCCTTAGGGGTTAGGGTTTGGCCATGCTTGCCCTGCCCCCAGACAAGCTGGTAGCTTCATAATCATAGCCTTCTTGGGCTACTCTGAAGCGGTTTGTGCTATGATTTTAGTCTCAAGCCTCAAGCTGCGGCCGCGTCTTCTCCAGGAAGACGTCCCTACCACGGTCCGGCCCTTGATACGCGATGATTCTTTCCCGGAGCAAGCGAGCTTTGATGTCTTCATAGACGATTCTGCAGAAGGCCCGAACCACTTCCTTTGCTTCGGCTACATACCAGAAGGCTTTACATGGAAGCTTGCCAGCGCTGGCTTTGAGATCCCGTTAGGAGCTTGAGGGACCTTGCGAGCATTCAAAAGGCAATTATTCTACAAACCCCTCAACCCTTATCTCCTTAAACCCTACAACTCCCTCGACCCTTATCTCCCTAAATCCTGAGAAGCTAAATCCTAAGTCCTAAGCCCTAAATTTCTAAACCGTCAACCCTTCTTCAGTTCTTCAAGAATGTAGTGTCTTTGTGCTTGCTCAAACTGTTTTAGCGTTTTGTTGCTACTACAGCTTTGGTTCTGATTCATGTTCTGTGCTAGCCATCAGCTGCTCAGTCTAGCTGCTTAGCTTTCACAGGCTTCACGCATGCTTCACATTTTGAACACCCGCCCTCCACGCCCTGTGATACTTGGTTTTCTATCTTTTGTTGTTCGTACTGGTGCTTCGCTCTGTCTCCTGATACTATACTACGCTGTTGCTTCGCAGT